AACAACATACAGATAGATCAGACTGTATTTGAAAGACAATCTATTGTGCACCCACACGCAGACAGAAGAACTGACAGAGCCAATTGAGTTACAGTTAACATTTCCTTTATTTCAGTATAAGAATTCCTGAACTGAAGAATGGTATTTTGGCCCATACTGCTAGACTAGATCAATTCTTTAAGTATGCGGTGCCACAAGTGTACACAGTACTATCATAGCAAAAAGACGGCCTGGGACAAGTTTCATTTTTATTATTAGCAGTAGTTAGACGTTTCAGGTAAGAATATTATGCATTTCTGAATTTGCCTGGAAAGTTAATAAGAATTTTGAGAACATTTTAAAACATTATAAAATTGCCTCTTGACACCCACGATACTTTGGTACGAGATGTGGAATAAAAACCTACATGTGATAAACATTCAGTAAACAGATTCTCTGCACTCCAAAGCCTAAGTAATACACAAGCTGAGAGTAATTACATAAGAAACTTAATTTTCTACACAAAACGTGCTGCCAAAGAACAAGACTCAAACCTAGAACTTTTTTTTTTCCACGTGAAAGTGAAAGCATCGTAACAAAGCAGTACGGCCTGGTAGGCAATGCAAGTCATTTCAACTGTTAGAGGCTTTGGCAAAGATTTAGCACGAAAGAAGTCCAATTACTTGCAGTGTTTCACAAAACCATACCCCTGACTGCTTATTGGTGCTTTGAAACAGGGAAGTGAACTCTATAGGCATACAGAAACAAACAGGAAACAACTGTTTGCTAGGTCATGAAGGATGTAAAGAGAAACTAAATATTGTTATTCTTAAGCCTTGTTTTGAAGAGAAAACTACCACTGAAGGAAGCTAAGAATAAAATGCCAGAAAGACATTGATACATATATTTTTAGAACAACCTGCAAGCATATCTTCAACTATTTTTTCTTCAGGGCAGTAGTTTCTTAAAAATAATGTGAATTTCCTTCTTCCTTTCTGTTCTTAGGATCACAAAGGCAGTTATTTTTACCTTTATTAAGCATGCCTGGAGTATTTTAGTTGTATAATGTAGGACAATTAGACTCCAGGGTTGATAAATGGAGCTGACGTACTTAGTTGCAAGTTGTACATGTCTCATGACTGCCTTCCGGTTCAAACAGCTTACCTTTTAAGTTCTGTATGTATTCTTCCCATTCTGTATAGATACTAATACCCATTAAACAAAAACCAAAAACACAGATAAAAGAAATCTGCCTCAAATTAGTAATTAAAAAAAATGTACTGTTTAATAAGCACAAGAAAAGCAAAACTTAAGGCTACTGTCTTACATTATTAGGCAATGGAAATACAAGAAGTTGGAGCTATAACCAGCAGCTGAGCATGTTTTGACACTGGATGCTATACAAAGAATTCCCTCTAGGGAAGACACGAACTTACATTAAAAACAACACTTTCAAGATCTTTCTTTTTTCAACTGCCATCTGCTGGTCAGCTCCTACTTCATAGGGGTACGATGAATGACAAACTAGCTAACAATTCAGAGTATTACATGTTCTTTATTTTGTCCTCTTTAAAGATATCATGATTCTCTGACAAAGTTCAGAGGTAGTATCTAGACCCTACAGGATACCGTGACATTAATCTACTGTGAACAATCCATTCAATTTAATGAAGCCAGCCAATAACGACAAAAATTGATGGAAAAGCTAGAACAGGTAAGTCTTGTGCAAATACACAAAATGTACTAATAATCCAACAACAATGGTAATGCAAAGCCTTTTTTTATTTATTAAAAAATACTGGTTACACTCTACTGGCACCTACTACATTACTGAGGGGTAGAAGGAGAAGGCAAATGACAGCACTTGCATCTCTTCAAAAATACGAGGTTTTGGATGGTTACATCGAATCTTACAGCAGCAGTAAAGTACTACACTGAACTTCTGTGGACTTGGAAATGTTGATTATCTTTCCCACACTATGCCCCACAGCTCCTCATTAAGAAATAGATTTCAAGGAAATTACTGCTGATGCCAAGTGCCCAGAAGTAAAATTAAGTACTCTTTTTTTCCCCAAGATTATATGCAGGTATGACATTTACTCATTCATGTATAAATGTCAAATAAAAACAAAGGCATTGCTTTTTTTTTATCCATTGACTTAGAGAAAATCCTTACTGGTCCTGTCCATCATGTTAAAGTAATTAAAACCCCCATTTTATGAAAGGAACAAAGGCCTACCTACCTTTTACCCTCTGGTATGTTGGGAGAAGCCCAATCCATGGTTCTCTCTCCCTTCTAAATTAGGCACCTAAAATGACTTATGGATTAATAATTTGGGCTTCTGTTCATTTTGTAATATTTCAAGTATTCCCATTAAAAATACCCCAAATAACAATAACAACCATCCAAAATCTTTGTAAATTGTCAAAATAAGATGATCTTTCAAAGAAGAAAAAAAAAAAAAACAACTGTGCACACCCCTCTTTACTAAACACACTTCTACTAAACTTTAGTTGCAATGAGTGACATTTAAGAGGTTTGCAACTAGCTACAGTCCTTGACAAATAACAGTTATATGCAGGCTCCCTTCTAGAACAAGCCGTCCACAAGTAGCGAGGCAAAAAAAGAAGGAAAAAAACCCCAAAACCAAACAGCCAGAATCCACTTAATATTGCTTGGTGAAGGCGTATGTGCTTGTGGAATACGCAGTATTTTTTTTCACCTTTGTCAGAAGAGCATTTAAGTCAACACTTAGAAGTGTAATAGTGAACACAAATATAAAAGTTAGTCAGCAAATGTATTTAATGTTGAAAAGAATTACATCCTACTCAGTTAGCAGAGCAAGGCTTTCAGCACTGCATGATTGTGTTTATTTTTTAAAACTCTTTCCCTCGTCTTTCCGGAGAAGCTTTCTCTCTGGATGAACACTCTCAGGACATACATGTAGTTAGCTGTTTAGACAAGTGCTAAATCACAGTACAAAAGGAAAAAAAGGATTTTAAAGCCACCCACAACATCCAAGGTTTATATCTTTCCTTGTTTTGTGAGTTCAGAAATACATGCCTGTCATATATATATATATTTAATATTTATTTAAAAGCAAAATAAATCTATTATCAAATTATCAAACAAATTGGGTCCAACCCTTAGCTGGTAAAACTTTGTGTCAGTGCAGCTTTAAACCATTTAAGGATCCAGCCCACTGTTATCTACTCCTCAAGCCACCCAGCTCCCCTCAGGTCTATGTTTTTTTGATAGGGTACATTTTTGTTATGTTGACTGCAGGAGGGTTGGAACTAGATGTTCTTTGAGGTCCTTTTTAACCAAGGCCATTCTGTTTCTATAATTCAACCGTTTCGAAACATCAGGAAAACATTCACAGGAAAGTATTCACTTTCTAATCTGTATATCTGCCTTATGAGCACTGTATGATGTTAATTTTTCTCACACTTCTTGCTATTCAGCACTAGCTGAGTAAATAAAGAGTGAAGTTTTAAGATTTTCATTTCAGCCTAAACAGTCATTTCAATTTTTACATGTAAACTGCTAGGACACAACCCAAAATCCTACAAAAATGAGATTTTTATAGAGAAAGATTTCTGTAGGCTTCATTCTTTTTTTTTTTTTTAATAACGCTATAAACAGAAATAAAATCTTTCTCCTGAGATTACAAAATTTAGAGACGCGTATTTAGAATGAAAAATATAGTATGATCCTTAAATGAGTCTGGCTTAATAGCTGGTCCCAAATACAAACAGCTTAGATTGCAAGTTCCGACTGTAAAGTCAAAACAGAAGAAAGTGTTATGCCAATGATAACTGGGACTTTCTCAATTGCAAGAACAAAATGAGAACAAGTGTTAGTTTTTTTGACCACTGCCCTGGACATTTTTTTCTGGTGGGACTTCTTTAGTTTATTTTATTAGGGTACAGGAGGGAGAATGCAAGGTGTTTTTTTTTTTTTTTTTTTTTTTTTTTTTTTATAAAAGGTATTTTCAAGTTACAGTAAGATAAACAGCCATTAACATGCAACCTTCCCCACCCCCAAAGGTAAACCATTTATGAACATAGTCTAGGTATTTTAACTGCATCCATTATAGCGTCTAAGCACCTCATGCTTTTTGTTTAGGGAGACTAAAGAGTCTCTAGGATATCTGGAAGCCCTACTCCCTCATTAGCAGGCATGTCTTTTCTCTACAACTTCTGTAATACAAACTTCTTGAAGGTGTTTGTCCATGGATAGTTTAATAAATCCTACCAACTACATTTCTGAATCCACCTGCAACACAGCATGCATACTTGACCCTCATGCTGCTACTCTTTGGCTGATTTGTCTTAATAGTGTAGATAACTCGGGGAACGGTTCAAGGGATTGTATGAATACAATTCAGGTACATACATTTCATTTATTGTATGTCAATTGAAAAGAATTACAGTTCCAAATATGCAGAGCTAAGACTATGATTAGTAAGTATCAAAAAGATACTTCCTTCACTGCCTGCTTAACTCTTCAGACAATGAAGCTATTTGCATCACAGAGAAATAGCACTTAAACAGCCTGAAAACTAATCTGAGCTTAAAGGGGCACTGCTCAGAAAACTGTCCAGTTCTACATTGGAGGATTAGGAAACTTGCTTCAATATAAAAGCTATGGCAACATGACAATATTGAGTTACATAATGTAACTAATGTAGTACGCTTACATAAAGTCTGTAGAAGAAAATACAGAACACACTGGCATTTTACTTTGCCTCTAACAGAAGGTTACAATTCTAAAACTTTGTTGGTAAATACATTAAAAACCACAATAATATTTTGACGTCCCCAAATCAGACGTTCTTGTTACAATAAATGAATTTGCAATGCACACATTAACAGGTTTCACAGAGGCCAGAACTGTAACTTGTCTAGAGCACCAACGTTAGAGAATTCGCCTTTGTTTTTTGCTTTTAAACAAAAAGATTCACACCTGAAAATTTCTGTAATTAAATGGCTGTGTGCAAACACCATTTTTTTTTTACCTCATTCTCAGTTAAGGAAGCTGAAGGAGATGAACTTTTGCTAAAAGCAAGAGTTGAAGATTCTGCTGCTGAAGCCCGATTTCGCTTCTTCAGAGGTTTACATGCATCAGACAGATTTTTCGTTGCTGTAAAATAATTTTGGTTTACAAAGTGAAGTTTGGAACTTTAAAACGTTATCTCCCTGAAGCCATTTAAAATATTCCTTCAGATAAAAGAAGGAATGATTTACGTAGGTCTTGTGGGCATTTATGTAAGGCTGAGAAAACAAGAAGTTTCTGAAATCACGTTTTTGCTTGATTTTAAAAGCAAAGAGGTTTCTATTAAGCAAATACATACTACAGATGGCTAAAAAATGTTTTCCCCAAGCACTTACGTCTATTTAAAGCAAAACATCTTGTGACTTATGACCTCTTCAAAGCAGAGGTAACAGGTATGTCCTCAAATAAGCACTAGAAGGTCTACGTTATCTCATCAGAATCTGCGTACCACTAATACTTTGTTAAGAGAACAGGGACAAGGTACCAGACATATCACCACTTCTATGTTGTGCAGAACTTTCTGAAACTTATTCATCTTTGGAATTTCATTATAGTATCTAAAGAGACATGCTCTTGCAGAAGTTATCTTAACCTTGAACATCTGGTTTTTGGTACAAGGTTATTTAGAATTCCCTCTCATGCACCACACTGCCTCCCATAAAGCATCATTTAAAAGGTCTAAAATTACATAGTAACTGATTGCAGTGATGGTCACTGTACTTATTTTATTGGGTAACTGAAGAACAAATTGGAGCGGTAGGATTTTTATTGCTGCTCTCCAAGATCACAGGGCTATATTGTATACAATAGCTTTAATTTGGTGCCATCAAATGGTGAACTTGTGAACTGCTGCTCTAAATCAGCAATGCACAATTTCAAGCAAGTATAATGCTGCAAAATGGTGGTAGTGAAGGAAGAGGGCACAGTCTCCCCCAGTCTATGGCACAGTGGCTGTATCTTGTTATTGCATCAGCAAATTTAGCTGACTACCTCAGACAACCTGTTTATTTTTATATTATTTAATTGAAAAAGTTACATTAAAACTTATTCTGACCACATTACCTGACTGGTTCTTTTGTGAAGAGGAGGTTTCTGTGACCTTAGTAGAGTTTGTTTTTGGTGTTTTGTCATTGCTTGTCTCCCTCTGTCACAAAAAAAAAAAAAAAAAAAAGAAAAATAAAAAAACTCCTAATTTATGAGTGGTTGGACAAAACTAGCAATTACTTCTGGATTTATGTTATTAAGGTGACTTTACAAATACCTGCATGGTAATGTCGTTAAGCTACCCCCATTTAAGTAATTTTTTTAAAGCTTACGTACAAAACAGGGTACAAACCCATAAACAAATGAGTAAAATTAAAGAACACGGTAATCCAGCATCCCACTTATCCATCCCAAACTCAGCATTTCAGAAAGGGGAACTCTATATGAAAACAAAACATGTAAATTACCCTTACTATCTTGGTCTGAACTGGTCAAATTAAAACCTTTAATTATTAAGGGTAAACTGCAGAAGTACTATATAAATTTGAGAATAAATGCAGAATTTAAGTCTCAGAGGCTTGCTTTCAACTCCAAACTTGCAGCAGTGCCATTTTAAAAATTACTATGGTTAAGATTGTTCCAGCATTTCCAAAATATAAACACTATTATCAAGGAAGCATATGCAATGAATAAAGTTGCTCCAGACTGAGAATTTATCATCAGAATTTATCCCCTAAACTGGGGAAATTGTTGTCAAAGCTGTGTCAAAATTAGACAGTGTTATTTTCTTTGTATCTCACAAACTTATTCAAATTGTAAGAGCATAAAAAGAATGCTCAACCCTATAAAATGCTCAAATGAGCAATAAGAAAAAAGTCCACAGCACAAATATTATGTACTTTTTCATATTCTTTATCTGACTGTTTTATGAAAGATGTCCAGGTGAGAAGGTGAGAAGGTACTGAGAAGGTGAGACTGTACTACAAATGTGCTGCACTACACTTCTACTGATGTCTAAATAGACCGAGGCACCCTACCACTGATGCTGCTGTGTTCAATGAATAAAAATGTACAGGATAATTCACACAATTTAAAGCAGCCTCTACAGAAACCCCTCCGTTAACGTGCATTTTACATACATCTTGAAAGCATCGATGAATGAAAAGACTTCAAGACTTTCACATACTTACTATAATTTAGTCTCTTGTGAAACAACATTCAGATTCTGTAAGTAAGAGTTTAGGACAAAAAGAAAAGGGTAATGCACAGCAAGTGCTCTTGAAAAATCAGTAAGCCTTCACGTATCCCAAAAGATTGTAACATAAGTCTACACACAATCTGGGAATAGTAGAAGGAAGTGTACAGCTAGTGTTTGGTTTTTTGAATCATTGTGTAGACACTGTTGCTGTCATTCACTACATTTTCTACTAAGCAGCAGCACACACAGCTACGATCCTGGGCTGGTGGAAGCAGGAAGATGAGTAAAAGATTATCCAGTAAAAAAAAAAAAGCAGAAAAAAGCCATTCTACAATAACTGATCCTTCTGTGGGCAGAAGACAAAAAGTACTGCCTTGTGCATTTAGAGTTTCCAAATCACACAGTATTTATACACACCAGACGCCGTAAATCTACTTCTGATAAATTAAACAAAGGACACCACTTTATGTATGAAGCACGTTACCGAAGTCAGTATTATCAGTGGTGTGTATCTTATTAGAATAACTTATCTCAGTTATTTATTTATTCAATAGTCACATCTGCATCATGGTATCAAAGATAGCAGAATCTCCTCTTCGTGAGCTATACTGTAACCACCCTTTATTCTACTTGTGATCGTTAAGGCCAACTGCAACAAAAACTGGTCAGGCAGTAAAGAAGGAACTTTTATTTCATTCAAAACAGGGGCTTGGTAACAAGGGTTAATTTCAATAAATAAATTTAATTATTTCCCTGTATCTAGTGCATTATAGTAATTCAAATCAATTAGACATATATTTGAAGTTTCTAAAAAATTTCTCCTAGAATATAAAATGGATATTCAATCACTGGCCTCTCAGAGCAGAAAGCACAAAAAACACTTTTGTCTCTCCCCAAAACTTCTCTAAGAACTCTCTCTGTTCCTTACTATTAAGTTTTAAGTCTGGTATCTGAAATTCGACTTACTGTTTTCAGTGACCTTTAACCGGTTGTCTGGATATCTGCAGTATCAAGACAAGCTACAGAAGTAACAAGCCTATCAGACTGACATCTCTAAATGTGACCTCCAGAGTTCATTTAAAAATAAATCTATCACCTTTCCATATATTAGCTTGCTTCATTTAACCAACATGACACTGAAGTCCTCAGGCATGGTCTGCAATACCCACACCACAGTATGGTATTCTAGTAACACATGTGAAAACATCTATGAGCTAAACTCTTCACAGAAGTACAACCTAAGAAGTTCACAGGTCTAAAATCACAACTAAATAAACCTATAGTTGAGCATCTACAGGATTTGGGCTGACACATACATAATTTTAGTGACTTACGTAAGGAAAATTCTCATTCTCACAAGCAAGTTAAACTAAAAAGAAGCTTGTGATCTGCACGATAAAAATGCTGTATTTAACACAGTTTCCTATCTTAAGCAATTAGACAAGATGTCACTAAAATGTACTGTAGGATTCAATCCACTTTTTGAAAATTAGTTTTCCTGTTCTGCTGAACTTGCATTCCTCTCTTCCCCAACTTTTGTCTAAAAGAAGTATCATAAGACATTAGAGATTTTTGTACATGTTCTTGTATACACGCCTGAAATCTGATTCACGGGGAAAGGAAAAATACTATAAGGCTATACTGACATGTCATGCCTCTGCATATTCCTTTGGGAAACAGATTTTCTCAGCATGCATTTTCACCAAAGTCTAAGTAGGAAAAGCAACTTCACATCTCTTTGCTTGAAACCAAAGAAGAAAACCCATGGCAATAAGCTCACATTTCTTTGAATATTTACAATAGTTTAATTTGATTCAAAGACATTACTTTTTTAGTCCTGGAAATGGAAATGCTGACAAACTTAACTACAGCAATGTGATTGGTGCTGCTATAAATCCACCCAAACAAACCAACAACATAATTACCTTCCGATTATTCTGTTTATCCATCCTGAGTCTTTTCCTAGGTGCCTCCTGAACTTCAAAATCTTCTGTAGGTTCCTTTGTCCTCTTTTTTTGGTTTCTTTTATTTCCATGTAAGTTACCTTGGGATGGGGGATGGGGGAAACTTACATGAAAAATAATCTAAAACCCACTTTCAAATTATTTTGAACTGATCTAGTTATTTAAGTTACTTTTCTTTCAGTCATTGTTTCTAAACATGGTTAAACATTAACACAGTTTGATGACCTCTTAAAGCCTGCGGTCTGGTTCCTGTTGCTGAAGGTAAGCTCTAAACACTCCAAATCAACTGCTCAATAGTCATTTTAGAAAGATAAGTCTGCCTACATAAGCACTAGTATAAGATCTGAATATCACTATCCAACATTTGTTTCATATTGTCAGACTGCACGTGGTTTTAACTCTTCTGCCACTTTGTAATAGTGCCATATCACGGAATCTAAGTTTTACATCTCCACGAGGAGTTCTCCAGTTGATACTGGTGAAGGCACTGGATATCAGCTTAAGGGGCTTCTGGAAAAAACAAGCTATCACCAATTGTACAGATTAATTCTCTCTTTTTGGCATAGCAATTCCAGATTCTTTCCAACAAGCTTACTTACGTTTTACAGGAGACCATAAGACCCCGTTCGTTTGTGAACCAAAATTCTTAAGAACAGATTCACTTTGGTCATTTTAATCCAAAACAGACTTATTGACACATCTATGTGATCATTCACTGAAAGTTCAAAAGCAGCTAGCTAAATAACAAAAGGTCACCAACTAACCTACATATTCTTTCCCTAGGTTCAGCAATTGTTTACACTTGCTCTATCACAAAAAGATAGATGAAGGTTTAAGAAGTATACTGGTTCATCAGGATGAAATGACAACATCATTACACTCTCCAGTACTCTCTAGTTTATGAAGCTACAGAGTATTATTATTTCAAAGACTGCAAGCTCCAGGGGCACAAATATGTAAACTGAAAATTGCCCTACAGCTGCAAGTATTCCATTCCAGTGGGAACAAATAGTTGTAAATATTAAAAATATAGTAACTTGAAAATATGAATAATTTTCAAATTAATGTTCCTATCTAAAAAAACTAGGACTCTGATTTCATAAAGCAGACTGATGTGGCTCCAGGAGAACCTGCTACTTACAAAAAGCCAGTAAAACAAATCCCACAGTATTCTTCCAAGTTTAAGATAAGAGGATTTGGGTAGGGAAACAATTCAAATGACATGTTTTCATCTTAGATAACTATAAATGTACACAATATATGTACTAGAAACACCTGGTACAGGTACAATTTCAATTACATTTCTTGCAATATGACACTGAGGAAGTTGAACAAAATTCAGCACTACAGCATTTAGATATTTAATTTGGGATCCATTAAAACTCTATCGTCAAGGAAGACAACATCTGAGATAAAATAAAGAGATTATGATATGTGGGCGATTACATAAAAAAATACACTCAATAGCTACTTATAATGAACTATTTCACACAACACAAATTTCAATTACTTCTGGATCTTGATCTCCTTTTAGGTGAGTCTTGAAACACTTTACGTTTGGCCTCTCCAATATTCTTCAATGATGAACCTTGAGAGATACAGAATGTGTTTTTTTTTTAAACTGATATCCAAATATTTGACACTTATATTTTAAAGTTAAAAACTTTTCAATTTTCCACAAAATTATGTTACTTCACACACACACAGTTAACAAAACTGACTGCCATTTTTATACAAGTTTTTCCAAGTCTCACAAACTTTCAAACACTCACTCTCATTCTTGTCATTGCCCAAAGCAGCACCTGTTCGTTTCTTATACTTCCACATTGTCTTCTTACAGTGCTGAGAAACTATTTAAATTTGAAACGTGATAACTACTAAAAAATTGCTAAAATCCACGTAAATGCCAAACTACCTTCCTCCTTTCTCAAATACATGACTCAACGACCCTCAAATACTTTGCAAAATAATTGAGACTGATCATTAAATGCAAATGCTAGACAACAGCGACAAGAAAAAGGAAAAAAAAAAACGTATTTGAAATCTTGTACAATGTCCTAAAAATTTTGCATAGTACAATAAAATGCCAAGTGAATGAAGGATACCGAATAAAGGTCAGACTACTTCTTCCTGAGTTGATGATGATGAGGTAATACACTACAGGTATTTATATGAAGAAGAGGTGTAGCACTGATCACTCTTCTGAAGCCATTTACTATCTACTCTATTTTAAAAAAGGCAACTCTAATTTTACTAGTATTAACACTTCATTTTCCCTTTCCAGCATCCACCTATAACAGGCAGTGAGTGTAATGGCAGCTGCTTATGGGCAAAAGAAGAATGAGAAATCAGCAATCTCTAAACAGTAGGAGGTTTACATATAACAACTTTTCAGAACAACGAGCAAGAAATGTAGACTTCATGGGTTGCTTTTATTGTAACCATTGCCATTCCTTTGCTATTGGCACAAACACCAAGAATTAAAACTTGGAAAACAGTGAAAGCTGTTTTCCCTACAGGTCTCAAATATGTGCTTAGTTTAACACCACTATGTTTATCAAATTTAGTTAGAGTACACTAGCACAGTTTTACGTTTACCAGAGTCTTCTTCAGATTTGGGAGAGGTCACTATGGCAAACTTTGTGTTATAGCGAGCTTTCTGTTTTTCACTAAGCATGTTCCACTGCGATTCAAGCAACTCTTCAATCTCCTCACTTGATGCATCGGGATGTTCAGCAACCACCTATACATGCAGAAATAGGGTTTTATTAAAAAAAAAAAAAAAAAAAAAAAGAAGACCAGCGAAAAGAACGGAATTTGTTCTTCCACAGCCTCAGAAAACCGGATACAAACAAGTCTTCTAATGTTTCTGCTACAGATGGAACTACGTTTGAGCATTTTGTACCCATTATTATTATTGTTTTTTTTTAAATTACAATTTCTCTCTCTAAAAAGAGAATCTTTTAGCAGATTCAGAGTCATTAAGAACCACCTTGGAACCATTTGCCTTTTAACATACAGAAAATTGAGTACATATAAACCCTGTGGCATGGTGCTTCAAAAAGGTTCTATTATTACTGAATGAAGTTAAAATCTATCCCACAGAAAACAGGCATATGATATTGGAATATGCGCTTGCCTATAAAGACATCCACCAATTTATAGCAGAACTCGCTATTCATAGGGAATCTCCTATCTTAGCAGAGGGATCTACTCAAACTAGCATCTGAGGTAACACTTTCCTGTATTATTTTTTCATTTTATACCATTTATACAAATGCTAGGAATTCAAAAAGCTGTGCATCTTCTCTTAATATAAACACAATACACCACAGCCATCATCATTGAAATTAACTGACTTCCTAGAAACAAAAAAGCCAGAAACTTCTTCAGTATTTCCATACTTTCTCTTAAGGAAAGACAGATTTGATAAAGAAATCAGAAAACTCTAAGATTCTGCATTCTGCCAGAATGAAACAATACCTTGAAACACAGCCCTTGGTCACTGTCACTAACCAGCATTTTCCAATTCTAATCAGCAGTCCCACCACTTACTACTGTTGTGATGCAACCAATACCCCAAAATCACAGAGCAAAATAAAAAGTAGGCCAATAAAGCCAAGTGTTTTAACCTTAACTTCTTAGAACGGAGTATTTTTTCGTTAAAAATTCTGGTGTCAAGCAAGGTACAAGTGTGACTAAAGCTTCTCCAGGGGTTGGAATTGTTGTAATGCCTTCCTTCCATTGAGATTAATTAGAGTCTAGTAAGAAAACACACGTCATTTTTCCCCTGGTTAAGTACTAAGATTCTTCTTCCTTTTACCTCATATAATTTACTTGCTAATAGGACATTGACCTTCGGGGGCCTCTATTCAAAGTCTGATTAAAACTGAGAAGTGTCCAAAAAGTTACTGAGAGGAGACAACACAGACAGATCTACAAGATACCTCTTCCACACATCTCACTTCCTAAAGCAAACTAGGTAGTATCAGTTTTGACAACTGGCTGCTGACCGTATATAGTTTATTGTGCCCAACTAAGGCATAGAATTATTTAACTTTCTAAGGAATATCTACCTTTGTTTGCATAAACGACCTTAGTGGTGCCTACAGCTTCAATAATATACAAATAAAAATAACTGTCAATCAAATAGGAAAGCAGTGAAATGACAGGCAGAAAAAACCCCACGCTTCTTAATAATTAGGGGACACACAAAGTCGGACACCAACATCTTCATGCTATAACATTCCTCTCATATGTAGTTGATACAGTATATGTGAAAGTCATGTGCTTCTTCAAGATATTTTTCTAAATACGGACAAAATTATGAGAAGTCCTGGATCTACGTATTAATACCACTATAGGTGCATGAAACGTAGTGCTTAGATCAGGCATGTACTAGCCCATCCAAGTAAAGCAAATTACCTCCACTCTCGTCTTGATATTCAACAATTTCTTATACTTGCAGAAAACTTAAATTGTACACCCTACAAATGAAATTAGTCCTTCATTTACCAATGAAATCAGTTCTTAATTTACTTCTAAAAAGACTCAAGGTCCAAATCAAGTCATTAACATAAACAATATGGCTTTGTCTCTCACTGAAAATACCTTTATCTCAAGTCAAGATGCCTTCTAACAATTATGATGGTTGTATTTCACACAGGGAGAGTGCACAAGAAAGCCAACAGTATAAACTTCTTTGGTTTGCACAAAATACTTAAGTGTATCACTGAAACTATGAAAGCGTTCCAAGTTTAAATGCCTCCTTCCCTTATGGAAGCATTCCTGCTAAATCACTAAAAACATTCTCAGGCAGTTCATAGAATTGTAGAATGGCTCAGGCTGAAGGGAACCTTAAAGACCATCAAGATCCAAGCCCCTGCTGTGGGCTGGTTGCCAACCACTAGATCAGGCTGCCCAGGGCCCCATCCAACCTGGCCTTGAGCACCTCCAGGATGGGGCACCCACCACTCCCTGAGTAAAAAAATTGTTCCTAACATCTAACCTAAATTTCCCCTCTTTCAGTTTAAATCCATTTCTCTTTGTCCTATCACTATGAGATCGTGTAAAATGTTTGTCCCCCTCATGTTTGTAAGCTCCTTTTAGGTACTGGAATACTGCTATCAGGCCTCCCCAGTGCCTTCTCCAAGCTAAGCAAGCCCAACTCCCTCAACTTTTCTACACAGGAGAGGTGTTTCAGCCCTTTGATAATCTTCGTGGCCTTCTTCTGGATCCACTCCAACAGCTCTGCATCCTTCATTACCCTCAGTCCTCAAGCAGCCACTACTAATTTCTGAAAACTTCAACTATTCCTGTCCCATTCTCAGAAAATCAATACAGAAAGTAGTAATTAATAATAATGAAGCTGATATAAGAATTCTAATACAAGACTCCAAACAAGGTACAGTAGGAATGTATATACTTTTAAGATACCCTGAGATTATTAGAAGCCCCAGATGAGTAGTTTTCAGTCCTCCCTTTCCATTGACTGCTGTCTCCCTCCCAAGTCTGGGAGAACCTCTTCTAAATCCAGTTTTCCTTTTTCCTAAGTATCTATCTGCAAATACTTAAGGAACCATACTCTACTCTTTCAGATGGCGTTAACACAAGTAGCTTAGAAAGTGGTCTGGTTTTTAAGCTAATGTTATAAAAAATAACAGCATCTACAATGGGAAAAAAAAACCAACCAACCAACTAAAAAATCTTATATGGACAGCAAGCTATGCAAGTTGAAACAGATAAGCCAAACAGAAGGGAAAACATTATTTGGATATAGTCTCCACGGTCCACTGAAGACACAAAACTGCCTTTTTAGAAGCAAGTTAACAAGCTTAAAGTGTTAACCAAAATTAGGTAGCAGGTATCTAAAATGCCAGTCACCTTCATATCAAGAGTAAGGAAAAATTAGACCCTAATGATCTTCATTTGATAGAGGGACTGGTAGCTGCTGCTATTTGTTATCCATCACTTTTGTAACCTCGTTGTGTTCTATGCACAGAAGTGCTTCAGTATCAACTAGAATGAACTGCATAATTACATGGATTTGGGTTTTCACGACTGATTTTTATTAAAATGAATTCTAGGCAGAAAAGACAAGATGCCCTCTCCATATATGTAATATTTTGAAAGTCTAATTTAAACTCTGTAGAATATTAACCATTATAACCAGTGTGAATTTTCAAGTTTATGGAAGTTTCTCAGTGTCTCAAAGTGGCACGGAAGACAAAGCAATTCCTCAATGTTAAATAGTGCAATATCCTTTGTGTTTTCCACCTATTCATTTGAGAGCTATAGTATAATCAGAAAGGAATGACACATGTTAATTGGTGCAGAAAATAAAAGTATAACATCAGAGACACAGTGTGTCTCTTCTGTGGTAAGATATGTGTAGGTAAAACCAATCATAATAACCTCATTTATTCCAGAGCAGTAATTTTATATGCCTCAGTGTTGCATAAAGCTTCTTGTTGCATACCTTACAGGCCAAGGAAATACTCTCCTGTCATTACATAAGATGCAAGGTTACTTACAGAAGTGGAAATAGAACTCTCTCAAACATGAGACACATGTTTCACACATACAGCTTTTCAAAATGAATATATCAAAATCTATGTTTAATTGTCTAGCTACAAAACACTCTTGTTTCCAGAACTAGCAAATTGATCTGCCAGTGTTTTTCTCAAGTAAACCAAACCCACTAGAAGCTATATGCACACTGTATTCATTTTCATTCTTGTCAGTATCATGAGTTGTAATGATCTAAAAAGATCCTTAAAATGAACTACAACTAATTTATCACCATACAGTATAATCTGGCTTTCAGTTTTTCTTTATGATGTTCTGATTTGTTAATATTTTCTAACACAAATATCTTCAATTGAAATCAAACGTTTAACAGTTGAAGTCCCTAACCAAGTCATCTGCAACTTTCTGCCTTTGTGGGTATTATAGAAAAGCACAATTAATATAAAACATCACAACTCATGGTTCCATCAGTGCATGGAATTGTGCTGCAAATGCAGCAGAAGGTTGTAAGGAAGAAAAATGACGTTCATGATTTTAAAATAGTGAGTCAGAACAATGATACTGCTTTTATACCTCTAACAGTCTTCCTATGAAGTGTTGATATTATGATAGTTATTTAATCTACCTTGCCCTGGAGTGTAGTCCTCTCAAGAAGGCCTAGTTTCTGTCCCAAGATACTGCACACTGACAGTGATTTTCATACACTTTGGTAACTGTTGAAGCTTTTTCTGAAGCTCAGCAAAGGACTCTAGGTAGGGAAATTGAGTTTTTGAGGAGTTAAGACACGGGAGCACACTGTATAATTTGAGCCACGTTATCAAAATGAATGCACAAGCTAACTACAAGTAGATGACCATAAGCAGCATCACCTTGCTCATATTTGCTGAGCACACGTATAGCATATCTACACTTTACATATATTAAGAAAATTAAGACTAATAAAAAGGACTTCTAAATTATACAGGAAGATACTAATGTGATATGCTTGAAGGGAACAGCATTATCACTATTTTGTTCATATTATTTATATACATTCTTTCCTTTCTCTGTTACTGTTTGGACCAAGATTTGATGCAGGCATACTCAGACAAACTCAGAATACTACAGATTCTAAAGTAACAGCTAGTTACCAACTAAAGTGAAGAACTTCCTTTAAGTACAGAAATGAGCAGAGGCAATCATCCATAGTAACAGCTAAAAGAGACTAACCTCATCTCTGTGCTTCTGACAAAAGACCAAAAACTGAGATACTGCATCGCCCTTTCTGCTTCGTGGAGTAGAGGCTGGAGTTTTCTTTCTACTGAGAGGGGAGCCTATCCCTCTTTTGGATTCAGCCTGTTCAGATGACTTTTGAGGAGTAGTATTCTTAGTCTCCAACTGACTGCTATCTTGCGCATCATCAGTGGCAGACAATTTTGATGTCCTTCTCCTCCTCTTGTTAGGAATGCCAGACTCCTTCACTGATTTCAGACTTTCAGTGGTTTCTTCATTTGAGTAGGATGACTCATCTACCTCCTCCTCTAAAAGCTCCACAGCAATGCCAACTTCCTTTGCCACTTGAGGATTAAGATGAGGTCTGTCCCTAATGTAGATGAAGGTGTATTTGGCCTTCCGTTCTTCCACTGTCATGCCTACTGCTTCACTTGCTTGCTTAACACCCATCTCCCACTGTGGTCGCAGCTTCCCTGAAACAGGTTTTAACATCTGCAAAATAAGAAAATACTGTGAGAAATGTGCTTGTTTTTCATTCCAAGATACCACCATCAAGAAAAAACAATTCCAAGAGACTAAGTGTAATGTATATTTACAATTCAGTTATTCAAATGGAATTATGCTTGACAGAAATAATACCAAGCATTAATCATTGACAAAGCAGAACAGAAATGACTTTTAATAAGTAACAGTAATGTGCCACCTCTGCTTCTCATCTATACATAAAATATAAGATTACGTGCCAGCTTCAAAGCTTACCAGAATATCTATTTACATCTATACATACCTATAACAGTAAAATAATAAGTCTGAATATCTTGCCTTTTTTGGTAGCCTCTTACCTTTATTTTCTCTGCTTTAGTGAGGGCTTGTTTTGCACTTTCCTGGCATAATTGTTCAAACTGATCTTTTCCTTTGAAAGGCACAAGGCTCTTCTCAAATATCCAGGCTCGTTCTGGAGCATCTCCAAAAAACTGAACATGATACTGACGAAAACTCTTTTTCTGTCCTGAAAAATAAAAACAAATGTATTTAAGATCCAACTGAAGTTATCTAATTTTTGCAAGCTGCTACATTTATTACAATGACCAAAGCACAGTACAAACAGTTGACCTTCGAAGCACCCACTTGCTGGTCTTAAAGTCTCTAAGTAATGAAGTTTGACATAAAAGCCCACCAGTTTAGCCTAAACAAGAATATGCTTTGCTAAATTAACTTACAATCATCTGTCAGTGTGTTCCATGTGTATTAATTTATATGTAAGCCTGCATTCTTCTGAAAATGCTACATATGAAAATGAATTAAAAATCCAAGTTTTCAAAGCTTGAATAGTCTGCGCACTCAGCCTGATCTCCAATCTGCCTAAACTTCATCTTTTTAGCATTCTTGAATAGAAACACACACATAGCTGATTTGAACAATTGCAATAAAAACTTCATCCTAACCAAGCTTATAAGGAATCAGAGCAAGAATGGTAAAGGATTTGTGTGGTGGATGGGAGAGTGGGAAGATGAGAGAACAATTCTGAAATTTAGACAAGAAATATTCTTCTAAATCATAAAGAGGAATACTGTCTCCTTCTCTAAGAAACAGGCTTATAATCCTTCCTTTCTAAAGATATCAGGTATTCTAACAAGAAAGGGGAACAGAACACTTTCAAAATTCATGGAGGAATTCCCACTTAAAAATGAATTTCTGAATGGCAAATGGTAGAGGTAAGGGAATCAGACTTAAAATATCTTCTAGCATCTCCTTCATATGTTTTCACATGCGGATTTGTTGTCTGCCAAGTATTTAGTTTTAGGGTATCCTTCAAAGAAAAGTTTCAATAGCACTAAGCTACACTTCTGTGCTTGTCAATCCTGCTAGAAAGGATCAGTTGCCCACTTTGGTCATTTTGTATTCTATGGTTTTTCAAGGTGCCACCATATTAGTATGTGTAAGATGTAGTCTGTGAGAAAGAAGAAATCGGGGAAGGGCTTCTGTAGAGTAAGAATAAATAAGAGTCACAGTCATTGGCAACAGATGTCTTTAAACTAGGTCTCAATTTTGTTGTTTTTCAAAGGATGCCTTCTGCTTTAGTCAGCAAATGCTTCTACTTGATTACCTGATACACTGTATTATTACTGTCTTTTTTTTGTAAACCTAAAACCACTCTTTTTGTAATTACTCAGACAGCAGTTACTTTTCAAGGCATTTGATCTTGCCTCAAGATGTGGCATCTGGAACAGTAATAATATGAAATCAACCTAATTAATGGCATGAGCGGACGTTCTATTAACCATTACAACCATATATATACTATGTACATGAGATCTGCAAGAATGATGATGACTCAGTTGAGATCAGGTACAAGGCTTTAGAGGAACAGCACAGGAAAGGTTTTGGTCTGTCTGCATCATACATGCAATCCAATATCCTAATACACATTCCAGTAAATTCAGTAAAGCTTGCCCTCATCAAGAAAATTATTAACTAGAGATACTGAGCTCCAATAAATTATCTCTGATGAAATACAGGATATTTTTTGTATTTAACCAGGATGCCTAAGCTGCTGATAGTGAGATGGTCCATGCTACATTTACAACCACTCCTTAAGATCGGCCTTTGATTATCCAGCAGCCCAGTACCAAGAACAATCTACCTTTTGCAATGTAATACAGAGTATCTGTACCTGCCTAATTAATTAGTGTAAGTAATAGTGTCTGCTGATACAATAACTGAAGCTGTTTTTGAATCTGCAGATGTCTCCTGTGGACAGAATCCATAACAATGCTCCTGGATAAAATAAGGGACATTACTAAGGATTACTACAAATAAAGTCACCATTTCTGGCTCAAAGAATCCTGGAACCACCAGGTACTAAAGGGTTAGGAGAGTACTTTGTGGGGCTTACCACTATTCTTCTTCTTCTACTGTACCTTAGCATCTGTTCTTGTCCAGGCAGAGACAGGAGCTCTACTCTGAATCAGTATGGGCTTTCTTATATGCAAGCGTGCATCCTGCAAGCTGAAAGTTACAAACTTCTCAAGCCAAAGCAGCTGGAATGATGAAATCAAGTATAAACAGCAAGAAATTCAGACTATACATACTGTTGATCCTAATCCTAGAAATGACAAATACAAAGACCTAACTGGGGATTTCTACAACTCCCACATAAAAGAACTCTGCTGCTTGGAACAGAAGACTTTTGATGGTGTCTCTACAGTAAACACTAGTGGAAGATTAGACAAGATTGGGAATACATACTGATGTTTTGAATATCATTAGTGTGCATTAATTAATTATGAAGGCTGCCCAGGAGCTAGTCAAGCTTTCTGGAAGAAAAGGAAAGCCCCAAAGCAACTCCAGAGTAAATACCAGAAAAGCCTCCCTCCCCAGTATATTTCTTCAAAGAGGTTGAATTTAATCACTGAAAATATATGGGCTCCTCTTTCTGTTAACACTCCACAAGTTGGACTCAGAAATATGACACTTCATTTGCTACATCTGTTTTTATAGTTTCTTTTAAAAAGCTAATATAGAGATTCTTGATAATGAGGCAACAATCTTGCTCCTTTCAATGAGCGGAATTATTCAGCCAGGAACAGAAACGAGCTTTGTTTCTCTCAAAATCCAGCTCTTCTATGTCATAATAGATCAAAGAGTCAAAAGACTAAAATCACAGAGGTTACATGATCAAAACTCTGAACGACTGCTACAGGAAAAATTTGTCCCAAGAATCTATAATAGCCACATAGCAATCGCATGAATGCTTGAAGGGATCCCAAGAAGCCACTTAGATTACTAATAACATGGAGTCTACCTGCAGCTCTCTTTTGATTTAAAAGCCTATTACAGATAAGATCATGCAGTCTCTCTTAGCAATTCATTCCAATGCTTCACTGCCTTTTATACTTCCAAGTTGATCTTCACATGTAGTCTAAATATTTCCTGTTACTAAGCTCGCCTCTTTCCAGAGCAAGAAGCACTTATGCTTTTTCTCCTTTGCATGTTATTTAAGGGCAGTTAATGGGTTTTCCTCATCAGCTTAAAACAATTCCGTTTCCTTCCGTTTGTTCTCACACTACACTGTTGTTTATGTTCCCTCAGTACCTTCTCCATTTAGTCCACATCTCTTGAAATAAGATGGCTCAAACTGGATGAAATGAACATGATGCAGCTACTGAAAAAGCAAAGTATCTATTTCATGTATTTTATGACCAGCATTATTTATGACAGTATAATTTGGTCCTACGGCTGACACAACTATATGGGGCTATTATGACACTCAGATTTTGCCTGCAGTAACACAGCTTTGCATTCATTTTCCAGCTTGGTCTTCTACCACTGTAAAAATCTACTTACTCCTACTGAGCAGGATTTTTCAGACCACACCCACAGAGCATCAAGATCACTCTCATTTCCAATCCTACATGTTTACATTCTATCCACATTAGAAATTTGTAACTCTAATACAAATTTTACATGTGTAGTTTGTTTTCCAAGTTCTCAATGCAATCCCTGATAACAACTGAATGATGAAGGAGAAGTCCTTTTCCTCCCCAACTAAAAAGAACCCTCTCTTCCCCGCTCTTTCACATACATACAAAAAAAAAACCAACCCTGGAAATACATACTTAAAGGCTTCGTAGTAACAAGTGAATGTCTTACTCTGTTCCTCGCAAAGGAAACTGATACCTTTTCTTGACCTAATAAAATATATCAAAGTATTTAGGAGCATAAATAAAAAAAGCAAGGTTATGTGCTCCTACTTTGGTTTGATATTCCTATTAACTTGCTTTTCCCCATAATTTCCAACTTCTTTGGATTTCCATTAGCAGGTTTTCCAAACTTTCAGTAAAATTTGAAATAAACATAGCAGAAATTCTTTACAGTGTTCAGATGGAGCTAAAACTAGTGAGAGACGCAATGCAAAAACACTTTCTGTAAATGCAACAGTAGCAAATGAAAGCCTGAGGAATGTTCACAGTTTTAAGTAGCAGAGGACACTGAATAGGCTGAAATGCTTTATGTCTTTTTTCCCTTTTTTTTTTTTTTTTTTCCCCTTCTTTTTAATTTGGTAATACCTACCCCAAGTCTTCAGATTCCCCAGTCTAATGACCAGGACTGTAAGAATGAAGCACCACCCCAAGAATACTGAGGAAGCACTTATGCAAATTGGACATATATTACATTATGGAACCAGATGGGATGCTTTAGAAGGAGCTGAATGTGTTGGCCAATGTAGTTGAAAGTTAATCTCTGTAATTTTTGAAAGGCCAACTACGGATATCCCTGACAACTGGAAAAAGACAAACATTGCAAACATCACACCTATCTTCAAGAAAAATAACAATCTGGGGAGCTACCAGCTCAGCCAAATAATTTAATGCCTACAAGATAATAGAGCAAATCCTGTTTGAAGAGATGTCCGAGCGCTTGAAGGAAAAGAAGGTGGCTGGGAGCAGCCAACAAAGATTCACCAAGGACAAATCATGCCTAATCTGTTTATTTCCTATAAGGGATAAAGGAAGGGCAGTGTTGTTTAACTTGACAGCTAAAATGGTTTCCATAGTGTTCTTAAAACACTACATAAGAGATGATTATGAAAGAGAGAGAAAAAACTGGCTTAGCCACCAAGCCTTTATAGTGTTGTGAAGAGAGATACAGGGTCCAACCTGTGGCCTTTACTAGCTGAGTCCATCTATACTAAGGCAGACACTGATTGACATCTTAATAATAATCTGGAGAAGAGCAGAGCACACCTTTAGCAAACTGGGGGTGATTCTAGTCAAAACAACACTGCTGTGCAGAAGAACTTATAACACTGCAGAAACAGGCTGATAGGAACCTCACTAAATTCATCTAAGTCATATACAAAGTCCTGCATCTGAGATGGGATAACGTGATACAGTAGTAACCAGAGAGATGCTGTCCAACTAGACTTCAAAAAAAGGTGCAGGGTCCTTGCAGACATGAAATTAAACTTGAAACAACAGTGCAACCTTGTAGTGAAGAGGGGCAGGAACTTGCATTAGCAAGAATAAAGCCTGTCAGATATGCTTATTGCCTTCTATTTAGCCCTCGTGAGACCTCTGAAATACTCTACCAAGTTTTGGGTTCCCCAGAACAATGAAGACAGGAGCCAACAAGAAGCTAGAGTACGTGATGTAGAGTAAGACGTTCAGAGAGCTTTCACTTCTTAAGTCTCAAAAAAAACCCAACAACCAAACAAAAGAAAATGAACCACATCAAACCCACTGACATTTGGAGAGATCTTACTGCTGTCTTCAACAACTTAGGAGGAAGTATATGCAGAAGAATGAGGCAGACTCTGGATTAACGTGGTACTAATATAAAAGGTTGTACAGTCTCCATCTTTGAAGGCATCAAACACTGTGCTGGAGTAGGCACTGTGTACCCTGGTCCACCTTAGAGACCATACAACTACAAGGGATTCTTTCTAAGCTTTATTACTTCATCATTCTACAACCAGCACAGATAAGCCTCTACTGTTTAAGGAATAAGAACTGAGTAAGAAGCTACAAATGAGATGATGAATAAATGGGTAGAGATTCTTACATAAGAATTTCAATCAGTAGTGCCTGCGTTTAGAATCAACTTATGTTGCATGCAGATAACTACTGATTTCAGGAATCAAAGAAAATTAAGATGAATTAGAGGCTGCTTTTAGTAAAGCATAATCATTTGGGATTATTTAACCCCCATGAGTTTTCAATAAAATATTCAGCCTATATCACTGCTCAGAACATCTCCACAAAAACAATGGAAAGCATGTATCATCAGGTAACTTTTTAATAGGATTTCAAACAGTTTCACAGATCAAAACTTTGATCTCTTTTGGATAGTATTTAAGTTAAAAAAACACAAAAACCAAAACACCAATATAGTAGAAAAACTTAAGACTGCTATACGCTCAAAAATAGTGCTTGCATGATTTTAACATTCCTCTTGACAGTGATGAACTGGTTCAGTTACTGATACAAACGAACAGACAAAATGAACAGAACTTTCCCAAAATAATGTTCACATTCTGAAAGAAATCCAGATGTCTGTAGCATCAGGGACATACCTTTTAGTTTAGTGTAGGAATGAAGAATAGGATCAGCAGAAACCATACATGGCCACCAAGGAAAACCCGATACTTTTGACCACACTAGATCTCCTATATTGTACTTCAACAGATGGACTTTGTCATCTCTGATGGTACTCTGTGTTGAATCTCTCTTAGCAGGAGCCTTAAAGAAGAAAAAAAAGGGAAAAATATTATCACAATTTCTCCCTTAGATACACTCTAGAATTACTAAACATCACACAAAAATAAACAACAAAGTAATGTTTGTATTCTGTTTAAACATTCAAGTAAAATGAAAAATCTTCTTTTTAGTTTGAAATATTAGCATGTAAGCTGTGACCTGCCTTTATTGTTCTGAGAAACTGCTGAGAGACCATCAGGAAGGCTTGCTTTAATGTCAAACACATTCACTGAGCACCAACTGAAGATGCAGAAGAGTCAATCTCAGTTTTTATTGAACATTATCAATCAAGTTAAGTGCTAAATAAGCAAAAACTCTGTTCTGGATTAGAATCTAGAATAGCTTGAAATGCCTAGATGTCTATACAGAAACAGCACGTATAACCAGTCAAGAAAAAAAAGAACCCAAATTTTACATTTTTTAGCTCTCTTTCTACATTGTAAGGAAAGCATGACACAAACCCTACATCCTCACACCCTTTAGCAATGTCTTCTTTTTCCGTTCCAGTGTTAGTAGCAGAAGTTTGTGAGAGTCCGGTTCATGCTCTAAAGGTAGGTCAGTCGCTGGAAAACTGTCACAAATCTCTTTTCATTTCAGCGGATAGATTTAAATAGTACAAGGGCGTTTTATGTTTCCCACTGACGGGAACATATTTTTTATTATTTATAACAAAATTCACCAATGAAGACATTTATTTAGAAAATAAAATTATGTCACATTCTATGAAGTTACTGACATTCTTTTTATCTTCATTTGTTCTATTTGATGTAAATAACAAATGCCCTTATCTAGGTAAACTTTAACACTGGATGTGAGAAAGAACATTTCTCATTGCAGGTATCTGTAAAAATAATTACTTATTTGCTTCTCTGTTATCCTGTATTTATGTGTAATGTATTATATTAGTCATCTTCTCTACTACCAGCTCAACAAACAGAAGGCAGAACAGAGCTTCAGGCTTTCAGTGGATTTAATGTTTGAGTTGAAACAAAATTCTGTTTTAATTAATACAAGTGGCAAGAGGAAAGAGGAAATACTGTTAAGAACCTGAAAATCTACAATGTGGAAATGTATAGTATTTGAAACATCATGTTGAATCAAAACTGACAAGGTTATCTTGTAAATAGACTTTTAAACCCAGAGAACACCATTAAGACTAACGTTATTTTCCAAAACCAAACAACAAATCTTTGACACACTGCAACAGCATCGAGGATTTTTAGTTCTCAAACACAGAAGTAGATCCTGCTAGAAAACAAACTTAAAGCTCACTGCACTGAGAAACTCCTTTCCTCAAAGCTTTTAAAGCTTCTCCTGGTAAACACACATGATACTATGTCATCTGATTGTTAGGAGCAGTTACTCATCCAGTGATTCAGCTTTTCTGATGAATTTAGACTTGGTTCATGTGCCTGCAGCAAGAGCTGTGTTCCCATGTTTCAAGGTTTTTGGCTCTCTAAGGAATCTGCAAGACTGTCAGAAAACCCCCGCTGCTGAGCTTGCCTCAAGTCCAGCATTCTCAAAAGACCTCAAAGATTCTAAGCAGATGTGAAAAACCAAATGCTCCTTCTAGCACTTAAATATGACACAAAAAGTTAAGCTTAAAAGCTACAAATCAAGAAACACATATGCTAAGAAAAGATCCAGAAAAACGTTAATCTTGAGATACAAAAACGTACTTCAACATTTAAACAAAATAGATGGGATGAAAATATGTTCAGAAAAATCTAACTATTTGAAAATGTGAAAGTTATTCCAGATTCTTAATCTCATTTTTAATTTACAAGCCCCAGTATTTTTCAGAAAGTGCAACTAAGCTGAAAAGATTTACAACTACAATCTGAGAGGGATCTGGCTGGAATAATGAAAAGGCTCAAGCAGCGCTTCTTAATGCTGCGTAATCTAAAAGGGATGGCACTACAGGGGTGAATATTGCATTTCAACACATCTACAGGCGAGTCATGAATTTTAACTTCTTTGATGGATCATGATTAAAAAAACTGGGAAAACAACAGCCCTCTGATAAAAACTGCAAGGCTGATCTATGCAATACTTTCTGTATTTATGCTTTCTTTTATTGATAAAATGTACATACTTCAAAGGATGGCAAAATGCAGCACAGAATTCTACAAGCATCATTTTTTTGAGGAGGTCTTTTATGAGGTTATTTAAAAATCTAGACTGCACTGTTGTGAGCTCATTCTTATCCATCTTCCTTTCCCACTCATCCTGATTTCATTTGATTTCCTCATTCTTGCAGTTACTCTGATCCATTTCATAGGTACCTCAACTATAAATGGTGAAGTGAAATGCCTGGCACATACTTCTAAAAGAAGCAGCTCTCTGACACTAACAGTCTCCTTAATATTTCCTCTGTAAAGTATTTCTGCACACTGCCAGCATAGCATTAGAAATCTTAAGATTAGAAACTTAATTAAAGTCACTTAAAAATCATCAAGAAATGATAGACGCTAGCGGGCAGTCACACACATTTTACTCCAGCTTCCAGGTTGTTTTGTTTTTAGATTACTGCTGAGATGGGATGGAGAGAGCATCTCTACAAAAATCTCTGTTATTGTATGAACGGGGCTAGAGCTTTTTCAGGAGACACTTGTATTGTACAGAAATAAGCAATGTGGCTTGCAGTATTTTTTCTCTGGAGGAAAACAGGAATTGTTGTTAGGAGAATTTTTTTAAGCAATAATTGAGTATCCTTAACAATGTGCAGTTAATGCACAGGCAATCACTGCGCATCTGTAGAACATGGAGAGGTAGGGCTGGAAGCATTACTGTGGTGGTCTGTGATGAGCAATTCATACTGCTCCAACAGTAGATCAGTTCTTCCTTACTTAATGATACTTAAACAGGCAAAATAAGATGAAAAATTCCTTGTTTAAGAACACAACTGTAAAGTGAGGGAAGCTCAAATGAGTCAAACTAAAATACTTTTCCCTCAATTCCTGCCTGAAGTGGAAAAGATACAGGCTTCCTTAAAACAGTTCAAATTTCTAATGAGATAACCTACCCACAAATGTAAACAAATGGAAGTCTGTAGGAACAGTTCAGGAGCTTCTATCTTTCCTACTTCTACCAATAATTTCAGTGGCTTTTTTTCCTTTTTCAAATACTGAATTGCAGAGAAGTTACATAAATAGGATGGCTGAATCCCGGGTGAGCAGGTGATGACTGAGGATCACGCAGGGCAGCCCCGATGCTGAACTCACAGGCCACCTGACAGGCTCCACATTCCTTAGTATTGCAGCCACTGGTTTCAAGAGAAATCTCTGGCTTTCTAGATTTGAACCCTAATGAAAGCCTTGCTCTGAAAGGCAGCTAGACAGATTTCAAGTTTATTTTGTCTGGGCGACTGTGGAGTGTGGAACAGAATAATTCAATTACCATAACTGAGTTTTTCTGCAAGAAATTACGCCTTGAAGAATACCAGCATTCTTAAAAATTCATCCAAGACAGCAACTGCAATAGGCTGAGAGATACCAAAGAAGAAAAGCATATTTAATGTCTTCCCTCTTCTCTTAACATTTCCAAGATTTGTTTGCCATATCTCTCAGCACTTTCATCATCACATAAGTGATGAGTGACAGGCAGATTGACAGGAATTCCTGACACTTCAGTTAGCATTCTACCAGACCAAAGAAGTGAAATGTGATGGCTTGGTCATAGAAAACATTTGCATTTAATTAACTTTGCCTACAACCCATCAAAGGAATTCATCCAGTTTTCATTTAATTCTGGTCTGACTACGAATACAAGGCGACAAGAACATATTGTGTGTGATGGGTAATTTCAAAGTTTAAAATTATTTTAAAGCAACTACAAAGCATGATGCATTTAAGAACAATGTCATTACTGCACTGCATGCAGAGCTTCACATTTGTTTGTAGACTTTGTTATGAAAGCACTATGATCAGTTTGAAGCTGGCAAAGGACTCTTTTAAAAAACAGCTACAAGGCTTACCAAGTGACGTCAGACTGAGCTAAGTTATCTGTTCTGAAATTATCAGTGGTAAAGACTAAAGATATTAATATAATAGCAGATATTAATCAAATAGTAATGATCTATTTAGTGTACATGTGCAAGCACGTGAAAATTAATCCCTCAAATTGATTGTGAATTAACTGAAATGTCAAAAAGAACAGTGTTTCACTGAACTAACTTTGGAAGCTACAGAAATCGCCAACTTCTAACTGTAAAATGTCACCAGGGGATGAGACGAAGAACACTGCCCAGGAGAGAGACTGTATCACCAGAAAAGAGAACATTTAAGACAGATGAAGACAGTACACATTTTATTCTATTCTAACGGGGAAGCACTGATACTGAACAACTTGCAGGCATCTTCCCTCCTGTTTTCACTTTCAATTCAATTTGTGTGAAAGTAGTAACAGTTTGTAATCCTGCACCAAGAACTTCTCCTAGGCCACCCTATACATACAGACTGCTGGAGGTCCACTTGCACTCTGGAATAAAAATTTGCTAGCATTACAAAGGATCTAGGACAAAATAATCAAGGTTCCAAAACAGAATATATGCAGTTGAAATGTACTTCAAATCAACATTAGAACACAGAAACACAGTCTAACTTTTTTCTTCAATATGAAACAGTGCTCATTGACCACGACCACGTATTTTTCCAGTCCTGCTATCTATTAGTGAGTATTAGTGGGTGAAATACAGCATATTTGTTAGCCTGGATTTGTGTAATAAAGATAAAAATGAGATGTTTTGTCTTCTCTTGCCTCTCTAGCAGGAAAGATAGTGAACTAAGGAGGTGGCTATAGAACTCCATTCCTTTGAGAAGTTCAGGAGAGATGGGAACTTGCCTGAAGAAAAAGTGCATAACAAAGCAGAAAAGACTCACATTTTGTCACCTAGATTGATCAATGACCAGGTTCACTTTCAACAGAGACACTCCCTATAAAAAGACAAAGATTCCAAGCTTATCTTCCTTGAGAACCAACCA